AAATCATCAATTTTTTGTTGGGATTTTCCATTATAAACCATCCATTTTGGGGTATCAATATTTGTTTTGACACTCCATTTATGTCTTATGTGCGTATTTGTTGTCTCTGTATATATTGTTTTCCTGCAGGCTCAAAGAAGCTAGTCGCTGCGGCCTTGCTGTTCCTCAGTGAATTCAAGAAGCTGGGAAAAACCTCCTGACCCCATTACACAACTGCATAATCTGCACCAATAGTCACGAGTCGCTCCATAGTCCGTGTGGACGAGCAGTTTATATACATCTGGCCAGAAATTCCTCCGGTGGGTCGGGTCGGGTGCCACACCATCAACAGGGCAAAGGAAATAGCACTGTAGAGGGAGGTTGCAATACTCATGCAGAGGGCCGGAGTATCTTCCTTCAACGCAGTCGTCATCCATCTACCGCAATCATCATTACCTATCGTGGTCTGTATATATATATATACACGTGTTATTATTATCTACGCTAGTTATGTATATGTATATGTCACGAAAGCCAGCCGAAGGCCTGGGCTTGAGTATAGGTATAAGCGAAGCGAAGCGAAGCTAATCTAGGGGGTGTGGGGGGGGAGGCCCGAAATCGGTCCGTTTTTGAAAGGTGAGGCCGGAGCCTGGGGGGGTAGAGCTCAAAAACCGACCTGCCGTTTGCCTGGTTTTTTGGGCCCGAACGAGATGCTCCATTTTGGACACTTGTTGGTGGTTCTTGACGGTTTTCATCGGGTTTCAAATGCCGAAACACTGTAATTTACGGTGTTTTTGCGCGTTTGGCCTGGCAAAAGTACATCTTGCAACATGCTGAAAACTGCGTAAATACCACTGTTTTTGCTAGGTGCTGGCCATAAAACACTGTAAATACATCCTCCTGGGAATTTTCCTTAAAAAGTTCAGGACATGATGTCCTTAAAAAACTGTATTTTTTAAGGGACATACCTGGCCGGCAAAAAAAAAACAGTTCTATTTTTTAAGGAAATCCTGTTGTTTGACGGTCTCCTATTCTTTAAGAGGCCTTCCTTGGAAGATTCTAGGAACTGCACCATATATATATATTCATATATCATCCACATCCACATATCTCTTTAACATGTACATGAATGTACATGATATGTATCCATAAAATCTTAAAAATATTCAGAACATTTCATGCTTGACTTCAACTTGGGTATCCAATTCTTTAAAGGGGCACCCCTTGGTGTGTTATTGACGGTCTCCAATTTTTTAACGGGACATACCGGGCTACTGTGTTGCAATCTTGGTTCATTGGGGTTAGATTCTTTAAGGCTGAAATTTGCCCTGGTTCGCATTCTTTAAGAGGCTACCAGTGGTCCCTTAAAGATTCAGGGGTCAGGGTCGGAGGCCGAATTGCAAGGGGGATGTAAATACCGTGGTTTTTGGTTCCAGGAGCAAAAAACACCGCAAATACCGTGGTTTTGGGCTTGCAAGGCGTCAAAAAAACACGGTTTTTACGGAGTTTTTTGCTCCGAGAATGTTCAAAAAACACGAAAACACCACCTACTTGACCATTTTTCGGCTTTACCTTGTTGGTGGTTCTTGACGGTTTTCATCGGGTTTCAAATGCCGAAACACTGTAATTTACGGTGTTTTTGTGCGTTTGGCCTGGCAAAAGTACGTCTTGCAACATGCTGAAAACTGCGTAAATACCACTGTTTTTGCTAGGTGCTGGCCATAAAACACTGTAAACACCGTGGTTTTTGGTTCCAGGAGCAAAAAAACACCGCAACTACCGTGGTTTTGGGCTTGCGAGGCGTCAAAAAACACGTTTTTTTTTTTAACGGAGTTTTTTGCTCCGAGACTGTTCAAAAAACACGAAAACACCAACTATTTGACAATTTTTCGGCTTTACAAATGAAGGTAAAAAAAAAACATGCCGCAACGTCTCTGTGTGAAGATGTTTCTATGTAAAAGCGTCTCTGTGTAAAAGCGTTTCTCTGTAGATATATCTGTGTGTACAAGGGTCTGTGTGTACAAGCTTCTGTGTGTAAAAGGGTCTCTGTGTAAAAGCTTCTGTGTGTAAAAGCCTCTGTGTGTCAAAGCGTATGTATGTAAAAGTGTTTGTGTGTAAAAGCGTCTGTGTAAAAGGGTCCGTGTGTAAAAAGATTCGTGTTTAAAAGTGTCTGTGTGTAAAAAGGTCTGCGTGTGAAAGCATTTCTGTGTTAAGATGTTTGTGTGTCCAACAGTCTGTGTGCTACTACGACTCTGTGTAAAAGCCTTTCGGTGTAAAGATGTTTGTGTGTAAAAAGGTCTGTATGTAAAAGCCTCTGTGTGTGAAAGCGTATGTGTGTAAAAGTGTTTGTGTGTAAAAGCGCCTGTGTGTAAAAGGGTCTGTGTGCAACATTTTGTGTATGCGTAAAAGGGTCGGTGTGTAGAAAGGTTTCTGTTTAAACGTGTCTGTGTGTAAAAAGGTCTCTGTGTAAAAGCATTTCTGTGTCAAGATGTTTGTGTGTCGAAAGCGTCTGTGTGTAAAGCTGTCCCTGCGTACACGGGTCTGTGTGTAAAAGCGTCTGTGTGTAAAAGCGTGTCTGTGTGAAGCTGTTTGTCTGTAAAAGCGTCTCTGTGTCAACGTGTTTCTGTGTAAAGCTCTTGCAAAAGGGTCTGTGTGTAAAAGCATCTGTGTGTCGAAGTAAAAAAGTGTCTGTGTGTAAAAGCGTTTGTGTGTGTAAAAACGTTTGTGTGTAGTCTGCAAGGGTCTGTGTGTAAAAGGGTCTATGTGTTTTTAGCTTCACAATGCTGGGTCATAGCTTCCGTTTGCTTGCTGTTCGTTCTAAAATTGTATATGTAGCCGTTTCCCGTTCTTCCCAAAAGCGAAATGCAATAGCCGGCCGAATGGCCGCCAAATGGCAGAAAATTGCTTCCAACAGGTTTCTGCTCTGGATTTGGCTCCAAAAGGCTCCTGGCCAGGATTTGGCCTAAAACGGCCGTTTCCCCTTGAGCCCAGAAGGCACTTTTCGTTGCCGGCCCGCAAGCCGCGAAAGTCTTAAAAGCTGGCTCCAAAAGGCTTCGGCCAGGATTTGGCTAAAAATGGCCGTTTCCCCTTGATCCCAGAAGGCCCTTTTGGTTGCCGGCCCGCAAGCCGCGAAAGTCCCACAAGCTGGCTCCAAAAGGCTCCGGGCTTGCGAGGCGTCAGAAAACACGTTTTTTTTTTCCGGAGTTTTTTGCTCCGAGACTGTTCAAAAAACACGAAAACACCAACTATTTGACCATTTTTCGGCTTTACAAATGAAGGTAAAAAAAAACATGCCGCAACGTCTCTGTGTGAAGATGTTTCTATGTAAAAGCGTCTCTGTGTAAAAGCGTTTCTCTGTAGATATATCTGTGTGTACAAGTACAAGCTTCTGTGTGTAAAAGGGTCTCTGTGTAAAAGCTTCTGTGTGTAAAAGCCTCTGTGTGTCAAAGCGTATGTATGTAAAAGTGTTTGTGTGTAAAAGCGTCTGTGTGTAAAAGGGTCTGTTTGCAACATTCTGTGTATGCGTAAAAGGGTCCGTGTGTAAAAAGGTTCGTGTTTAAAAGTGTCTGTGTGTAAAAAGGTCTGCGTGTAAAAGCATTTCTGTGTCAAGATGTTTGTGTGTCCAACAGTCTGTGTGCTACTACGACTCTGTGTAAAAGCCTTTCGGTGTAAGGATGTTTGTGTGTAAAAAGGTCTGTATGTAAAAGCCTCTGTGTGTAAAAGCGTATGTGTGTAAAAGTGTTTGTGTGTAAAAGCGCCTGTGTGTAAAAGGGTCTGTGTGCAACATTTTGTGTATGCGTAAAAGGGTCGGTGTGTAAAAAGGTTTCTGTTTAAAAGTGTCTGTGTGTAAAAAGGTCTCTGTGTAAAAGCATTTCTGTGTCAAGATGTTTGTGTGTCAAAAAGTGTCTGTGCGAAAAAAGCGTCTATGTCTCACGGCGTCTGTGTGTGCAAGGGTCTGCGTGTCAAAGGGTCTATGTGTAAAAGCGTCTGTGTGTAAAGCTGTCCCTGCGTACACGGGTCTGTGTGTGAAAGCGTCTGTGTATCTGTGTGAAGCTGTTTGTCTGTAAAAGCGTCTCTGTGTCAACGTGTTTCTGTGTAAAGCTATTGTAAAGAGGTCTGTGTGTAAAAGCACCTGTGTGTCGAAGTAAAAAAGTGTCTGTGTGTAAAAGCGTTTGTGTGTAAAAACGTTTGTGTGTAGTCTTCAAGGGTCTGTGTGTAAAAGGGTCTATGTGTTTTTAGCTTCACAATGCTGGTTCATAGCTTCTGTTTGCTTGCTGTTCGTTCTAAAATTGTATATGTAGCCGTTTCCCGTTCTTCCCAAAAGCGAAATGCAATAGCCGGCCGAATGGCCGCCAAATGGCATTGGCCTAAAACGGCCGTTTCCCCTTGAGCCCAGAAGGCACTTTTAGTTGCCGGCCCGCAAGCCGCGAAAGTCTCAAAAGCTGGGTCCAAAAGGCTTCGGCCTGGATTTGGCTAAAAACGGCCGTTTCCCCTTGATCCCAGAAGGCCCTTTTAGTTGCCGGCCCGCAAGCCGCGAAAGTCCCACAAGCTGGCTCCAAAAGGCTCCTGGCTAGGATGTGGCTAAAAACGAGCGTTTCCCCTTGATCCCAGAAGGGAAATCCAATTGCCGGCCCCCAAGGCGCGAAAGTTTAAAATCTGGTTCCAAAAGGGTTCTTGCTAGGCTTTGGCCCAAAACGGCCGTTTCCATTTGATTTCAGATGCGGCTCTGTGTCAAGATGTTTCTGTGTAAAAGCGTCTGTGTGTAAAAGGGTCTGTGTGCAACATTCTGTATATGCGTAAACGGGTCCGTGTGTAAAAAGGTTTGTGTTTTTAAAAGTGTCTGTATGTAAACAGGTCTGTGTGTAAAAGCATTTCTGTGTCAAGATGTTTGTGTGTCAAAAAGTCTGTGTGCTACTACTACGACTGTGTATAAAGCCTTTCGGTGTAAAGATGTTTGTGTGTAAAAGGGTCTGTATGTAAAAGCCTCTGTGTGTTAGTTTCTGTGTCAGAAGGCACTTTTAGTTGCCGGCCCGCAAGCCGCGAAAGTCTTAAAAGCTGTGTCCAAAAGACTTCGGCCAGGATTTGGCTAAAAACGGCCGTTTCCCCTTGATCCCAGAAGGCCCTTTTAGTTGCCGGCCCGCAAGCCGCGAAAGTCCCACAAGCTGGCTCCAAAAGGCTCCTGGCTAGGATGTGGCTAAAAACGAGCGTTTCCCCTTGATCCCAGAACGGAAATCCAATTGCCGGCCCGCAAGGCGCGAAAGTTTAAAATCTGGTTCCAAAAGGGTTCTTGCTAGGCTTTGGCCCAAAACGGCCGTTTCCATTTGATTTCAGATGCGGCTCTGTGTCAAGATGTTTCTGTGTAAAAGCGTCTGTGTGTAAAAGGGTCTGTGTGCAACATTCTGTGTATGCGTAAACGGGTCCGTGTGTAAAAAGGTTTGTGTTTTTAAAAGTATCGTGGATTGCTAACAACTAGCAACCGCCTTTACTTCGAGATACTTCAGCGCAGAGAAAAAAAAACCATGAGCATTGCTTTGGGGGCTGGCTTTCGTCCCCCCCCTTCTCAGGTATATGTATATGTATATGTATATGTATATGTATATAATTGTATATATAATATACATCCTATTATGTATATATATATATAATATATATATATGTACATACATACATACATACCTACCTACCTACCTACCTACATACATACATACATACATATATATGCACATAGTTTGCGCCCAGGCGAGGCTCCCAAGGCGGAGAGGAGGGGCCACCGCTACAGTGGGCCTTTCGTTAAGGTGCGGCAGCCAGTGGCATCTGCAGAAGCACCATAACTCACTGGTGCTTAGTAGGGAATGGGGGTTGCTGGGATGATGTTTATTAATGGTTAATGGTGAGTTATGAATGGTTAATATCAATGTTTATTAATGATGTTTAATATATAGTTATTGTAGATCATTCCCCCACTCCCTAAGCACCAGTAAGATAATGATCTTGAGTGAACTGATATCTGCAATCATATTGATCAGATATTGTTTCTATTGATATTGAGTGAAACAATGATATTAAGAATTTGAAACAAGAGAATTTTATATTGAGTGAATTGATGATATTGAGTGAACTGATATTGAGTGAACCATATTGGATTGCCATTGGAATTCTGAGCCAATCCGAAGGGACATACCCAACATATTTCTTTTAAAACAATAAAAATGGCACATTTTCTCAAGCGAAAAAAGAGGGTGATTGAAAGTGTGGGCACCCCTGTTGCACTCAACAGCACTCTGATTTTAGAGGTCACAGCCATACTTGAAAGGTTTCGGTTGCCATCTTGTAGGTAACAGTGACCGACCTTCAGATAAAACTCGTTATGCATGTTCAGATTGTTTTTTTGTACATCAATGAGCTTTTTCGTCTCAATCTATGGACTCTGGATGAAGGGAAAATCTACAGGAGACCCCAAACAATTTGGGGGTAAAAATCATGGTTTCCTGCAGATTTTCCCCTAAAACCCATCCATTGATGGTAAGGTTTCCAGCCTGCCGGGTTTCCGGGTTTCTGCCAGGAAATCCGCAAACGCTTGGATTCGTATCTGGCGATCACAGCAAGCCCTCAGATTTGGGGGCGATGCCTGCAGGGTCAGCAGAGTCCCAGATTGTTTTAGGTCTGAAAAGGACAGTTTTTCAAGAACTGGGGATCATTCAAAAAAAAACCCATAGATACCAGATAAATACCATATTTTGGGGAATACTCTGAATACTGTATCCATTTACAAGCGATTTTGATGTTCACGCCATGGGTTTGATCCATCTCGAGTCGGCCCATCCATTTGTGGGTCGGAATGGTCTGATGAATGTAGATCATTTCCCAGGGAAACCATGGGTTTTCCTAGGGAAACCATGAGTTTTCCACATCTATGTTGAAATTTTACCCTAGGGTACCCTCTGGTAATGACTAACATAGCTATGGAAAATCACCATTTTTTAATGGGAAAATCCACTATTTCGACTGGGCCATTTTCAATAGCTTTTTGTAGGTTTACCAGAGGGTAAGAGTGAATGAACAAAAATCCACAGCAAAGTTTGGAGATGAGTATGAAGATGTATATATGAATGTGGATGCAAAACTAGATGTACGACAAATGCCAAAAAGATGAAGAAGTAAAATCTCACTGAAATCATGCTATTTTTCACCTTGTTTTGTTTTTTGGTTGCAGTATATACTACAAATATTAGAAGTTGATCACCTAATTTTTAGTATATAATTAAAATATATACTGGTTGGTGGTTTGGAACATTTTTTATTTTCCACAATACATGGGATAATCCTTCCCATTGACTAATATTTTTCAAGATGGTAAAAATCCCATTTATAGATGGCTTACCTGGGTTTACCTATTAATAGCATGGTGATTTTCCATGGCTATGTTAGTCATAACCAGAGGGTATACCAATTCACCATTTTTTTGGTTATCCAGATACAACTATAGTTAATGGGGGTTATAAACCAACTTATAACTGGAGGGCACCATCCTGTACCAATTAACCATTTTTTGGTTATAACCTATTTTCCATACACTACACATCCACTATCCATCCCCTAGGTGCGCAACGTGCGGGACGCTATCCCAAAGGCCATCGGCTTCTACCTGGTGCGCGCCGTTGCGGAAACCCAGCTTCGCTTTCCGCGCTGAGCCATTGAAGTTATACAACTTATGGTGGTTTCATGGTGATTGAAGTAACAAAAAAGGTGGTTTCATGGTGATTGAAGTAACAAAAATGGTGGTTTCATGGTGATTGAAGCAACAAAAATGGTGGTTTCATGGTGATTGAAGTAACAAAAATGGTGGTTTCATAGTGATTGAACTAACAACAATGGTAGTTTCATAGTGATTGAACTAACAAAAATGGTGTTTTCATGGTGATTGAACTAACAAAAATGGTGGTTTCATAGTGATTGAACTAACAAAAATGGTGGTTTCGTAGTGATTGAACTAACAAAAATGGTGGTTTCATGGTGATTGAACTAACAAAAATGGTGGTTTCATAGTGATTGAACTAACAAAAATGGTGGCAAAAATTGTGGTTTCATGGTGATTGAACTAACAAAAATGGTGGTTTAATAGGGATATAAGGGAATATTAATAGCATACAACGATATAATGGATTATCAATCGGATATTATGGGATGTACCCTCCGGTAATCAAACACGACAATTGGAAATCCTCTATAAATAGAGGTTTTAATGCGAACATCATCCATAAATGGGGAATTGTCCATTGCCATGTTTGATTTCCGGAGGGTAATTGATTATGGGGTTTAACCATCAAGAATGTGTTTTAACCAGTACGAATGATATACAATAACTGATAAAAGATGCTGAATTGGTCTGAATTGGTGATACAGTGGCTGAATTTAACCTAGTTTTTTTTTGGGGATTTTGAACTCACCCTTTTTTGTAACGGGATTCTTCTCAACCAACCAGTATAATGGGATTGGAGAGTGATATTTTCATTGAAATGGCTAGAAAACGGAACACTCATATTCCAGCAAGGGTGAATTCCTGAAGCGCAAAGTCGATTGCTAAAGAGGGGGAGCGATCCACTCAACGGAGATTTATGGCAGCAATTTTCATGTGGATTCAATTGACCAATCCATGATGTGGTAAACCAACTTTCTAATTGCCCAATTGATACCCTCTGGTAATTTAACATAGCTATTGAAAATACTCCATTTATAGTTGATTTACCCATTAAAAATGGCGATTTTCCATGGTTATGTTAGTTTACCAGAGGGTATTCCCCATGATTAGTACATCTTGTGGGTGGAGCCCAGGCGCAAGACAAGCTGCAGTTCGAGCTTCTGAATCAGCTGAATCAGAAGGATCTCTGCGGATGGCTAGCAGAAATCTAGCAGAAACAACCGGTGTTTTTTTGGTTTGCAGCATATCAATCTAGTGGTTTCAGATTTCAGTTTTCTTGTTTTTGCCGGGCTTAGAAGCATCAAAAGCTGTTGCTATCCACCTGCTTTCAAGGTAAATCAACTGTCCGCACTCAAAAAGACTCCGATTTTTTGGTTGTTTAGAAACACAGCCATTTACCCTCTGGTACTTTAACGTATGGAAAATCATCATTTTCAATCGGCGAAATTCGGTAAACCATGGAACAAAAATGGGCAGTTGACCATGTTGGCGGCATCCTTCCCAGGACAAGATCTCTGAGTTGTTGGGCGAACCGTAGGGGCGCCTAGGTCCAACTCGGTACCGATGAGCTCAGTGGCTGGGAACCCAACAGATTTTGATACTTCCCCCGGTGGAAATCCCCTAGAAATGGAGGTTTTAATGAGAACATCATCCATAAATGGGGAATTGTCCAGCGAGCCATGTTTGATTGCCGGAGGGTATTTTGTAGTAGGGGAACCAAGCACCGATCAGGTTCATTTCGGTATCCTGCGAAATGACATGGCGGTTGGCTCTTTTTGTTTGGCACTTCAAACATCACCTCTACATAGCGACCTCACTGAGCAACATCAACATCACTGCAAATTTTGTTTAGTGATTAAGGGGAATCATCCCAGAATGACCAAACATTTTAGGCTGGTGAGTTATAAGTTGCCTATGTCGATATACATAGATCAGGGCTGGAAAGAATCGAAACATAATTAGATGATGTTCAAATGACTGTCATTATCACCTTGGTCATTCAAAGATTTTCGTCTGCATCAGCCGGGTATGTGATATGTTGAATGTACATGGTACCTCAGCGAATCTAGGTCAGAATTCCAAAGTCACCCACTTTGGGTTTGGGACATTTTGGATCTTGAAACCTGTACCACACAGAATTCCTCCAGCACAGTCTCTTTTACTAGGAAAGCACATAACAAACCATCCTGCCGGGTGCACACCTAGGCCGCACATCATGGAAGAACGTAGCGGCCTGAGACGATGAACTGTCTGTTAGCCCAAGATTAATCAACTTCTAGTTTACTGATGCGGGGCGGTACCAATTCCAATAGACATTTAACA